GCCCAGAGCTGAAGTCGAAGCTACAGAGACTTCGGCTGAAGTGTTGGCGCGCGACAAAGAAATGGACGACGCGCCGAGAAGTGCAAGAGGAAGAAGAATAAATGCTGGCAAGAATTTCGTGCTGGATAAACAGAGGGCGTCTGATACTGCTTCTGCGCGCCTTTCTACTGTGGGAAGAAGAGACTCGGCGGGTGGAAGCGCAAAGAAGAAGAGCGCAGCGAAGGAGTGTGACAAGGAATCTCCCTCGAAAGAGGCGGATGGGACCGCAGAGAAGGAGAAGGGCAAGTTTAAGGTCAAGCTCATCAGGAAAAACAAGGTCGGAGAGAATGGAGCTGTTCCAGAAGGCGGACAGGATACCTCGGCGTCAATGTCCGTCTCTCCTCTGAGCGACTTGTCTGATGCGGAAGCCAAAAGCGGAGCTTCTGAAGAGGAAGACGAAGGTCCAATGGTGTCCAAACGACGATCGCGATCGAGCCTCGTCACTGGCAGACCAACTCAACGTGGCGCTCTCGTCTCCAGCGTAGATGCAGAGGCTCCTGTCATTCAATCAAAAGTGGCGTCGAAGAAGAAGAAGAAGAAGAAGGTATTAGATTCCGATTCGGATGGTGGGGATTATAAAGATGAAGAGGCGCGCCACGAGGAGATGGACTTGGAGATGGGCGTGGAAGAGTCGGATGATGAGGATGCGTACGAAGAAGAAAAGGTGCCTGCGAAGCGCAAGAAAGCAAGCAGAGAAGAAGCTCGACGCGGTCCTACTGAGCGAGGCGCAGCTCCTAGCGCGAGTAAGAAAAAGAGGGTGGAGTCGCTCTTTTCGGAGGAGGAAGGGGAGGAGAAAAAGCCCAGCAAGAAAGAGGTGGAGCAGAGGATGAAGAAGAAGAAGAGCATGAGCGGCATGAAAGCCCCATTGAACAATTCTGCCGTATCTACACCTACTTCGCACGGGGCTGGTGCTTCTAGGACTAGCACGACTGCACCAGGCGTGATCCCTTTGCCTCGCAAAGCAGGTGGCCACCTAACGCAATCGATAGCCAGCGCATCCAGCACCCACACGCCAACCTCCAACACCGCGACCTCTACAGCGATCAAAAAGCCCTCGGTGCCAGCTCCGAGGAAAAGCGGAGGAATGGCAGCCTTTTCGAACATTTTTGGCGGGCTTCCTACGCCGGGCGGCACGAGTGCGAGCGGAACTCCCAATAAGAGCAGCGCTGCCTCCAATCAGG